ATTTAGATCTTCAAGAAGCGCGTTCTCATTCGAGATATCTTCAAAATTTCATCGATTTATTTTCATCCAAATTGGTCAAAATTACGATTTCGCGCAGAGCAATCGGAAAATTTTATTCATTTATCTTCAAAGCTTATATTTCATCCGAGATATCTTCGAAATCTCGTCGATTTATTTTCATTGCCATTTCATCGTAATTCAAATTATTCATATAATTTCATTCATTGATGAATGATGATATCGAAAATTTCTATAAGAATCGTATATCAAATGAATATCGTTCGTACGAAGAAGCTCTCTTAATTTGAGAAGAAGTATAAATCTAGAGAAATTTTCCGCTATAAGATTGATATATGATTCGTCGATATAATAGATATTTTGATTATCTTCGTATCTTCAAAAATCGCGTTCCCGGTCAAGATATCCTTGAAATTTCATCGATTCATCTTCATCCAAATAGATCAAAATGGGCGTGCGGATTTTTCGGAGAAATTCGATTATTTATAAATAATGATCTTGCGGTTTTTAAATCAAGCCTATTCCCTATATATCATTTGATATTATCCTTAAATTTCAAGAGAGAAGAATTTATAGATGGGATTTCAAGAGAGAATCAAATCAAGAGATATCTACGCGATTTGATATTGATTTTTAGAATATGATTTTTCTTCCTTTATGAATCTAGCTCTATAGAAATATCATAAATAATCATAATTCCAAATCCGAGAAAAAAATTTGAAATCTCAATACGATAAACCCAAGAAATATATAAATTTCAATATCTTAAATCATTCTTCCCTCTCGATCTTCTGGCGGATAATATCATTCTAAAATCCAATTAATCCTATTTATTTCTATAAGAGAAAATTCCTATAAAGAACCGGAACTTCTATTTCCTTCAAAATCATTATAATTCTCTTGCCCCTTTATTATGGGAGCGTAGGAATCCTCAAATCTTTCGCTCTATATTTCTATATATGAATCTCTTTTTATTATTCGTATTCGTCGACCCCTCATTATTTGATCGTTATCAATTACGAGATAAATCTTATATCAATCTATACCAGAATATTCTATTCACGATCATCTTAAAAGAACAATTTTTTTTCGTGCGGAACGTACTGAAATTTTTGAAAAAGACGCGGTCTCGAAGAAAAACGCGGTCTCGTGCGGATTATCCTAAAGAATTTGAAGAATATCGTGAATGAAGATACGATTTTTGTTAATATGTTATCATCGCATCTCAAATATAACAGAAGAGCATGCGATGCAGAAACGAGATCTCCAAAAAAAATTCTCTATATTGAATGCGAGTAATTATTTAAAGAGAAATATATTTCAAAAACGAGGACCTCAATTATATCTCGTCTAAAAATCAAAGATATTAGATATCCTAATAAGAGATAATTCTATAATATTTCATATTCTTATTCTCCTATCGCGATTTTATTATTGAAATATGATATCTTCCGATTTCATTTGTATTTCATTCCTCTTTCTATCGTATAATATTTTTCTATATGAATCGTCTAGGCTCCTTCGGAAGACCATATCATGGGTTCGGAGAATTTGACAAGGGATCCAAATCAATCCTCGCAAGGCTCATCTCAGCATTTCAAAATGACCGTTCAAATATCCCGCCTTTCGCCGCGCTTTCGCGCGCCAGGAAATCAACACTGAAAACTCGTGATGAAGTCGGCTTATATATGTATAACAAACAAAACAAAGATTTTAGCACCCTCAGAATCTATGAGTGCCTCGTGCCTTGCATCTGCAAGGCGATGTGATGAAACCGATGAATTTCAAAAAAGTCCTGGGTTCAGTATTCAGACTCTGAATCTTGTATCCTTTGTCCGTGAGAATGCGCCGAAACGGAGCAGCGTAATGCCGGTGAGACAGCAGCAGCTTTCTGAACAGAAATCTTGGGCATGTGACTTCTTCAGGCTTGTCAGATTTAACGGGCTTGCTGCATGGTAGAAGGGTCATGTGGCGTTCTAAAGGGTTATGAAAAAGGTTGGTTCGATGGGGGCTTAGAAACCCTAAAGCTGGGATTTCAGGGTGTCTTGAGAGGCTTCATTGGGCCTGGCAGGTCATTAACCATCGCGCCTTCCGGAGAAAGTGGAGGATTCAGGGGTTCGTCGTGTAAAGCAGGCAGGCACATATGAGCAACATCATATGTGTTCAATGATAGGGCTCCTTCACTGCTTTCTACATACAGCAGGCAATCCTACTCCACAAGAGTACGTGTGACTTGTGACCTTGACCTAATTAGTGGCTGGCTGCATCTTGAACTCGAAGCTCAGAAGCCCTAAAACGCCTCAAAGCAAAACCCAACCCCTCGACCCGAACCTAAACCAAAGGGGAGATAGAACTTCAACTGCAAAGGCAAGGAGAATGTCAAAGATAGTCAGAATCCCTCTGTGTCACGTATAGCAGAGGTTGGACTAGGTTCTGGACGGACTGTAGGGATCACAGCTGAGCTTGTTTTTTGCCCTTACTCGTCTCATTTGCCTCTGGAGTGCCAGTGTTTACTGGACCCTACACCCTTTTGCCGTTCATCTCCACAGGCCTTACAAAAGGGATTTCCCGAAAGGGGTCCGTTCTTGGGGGTCCCCACAATAAGGATTAGAGAATATATTGGGGTCTAATTACGCTGGGATCCCCCTCAATTTATGGAAACGATCAAAACCCTTCCAAACAGCAAGGTTTCAAGAATCTGGTATTCGCCCTGTATGCGAACTCTGAAGAAATTAGTAGAACTGTGTCTTGGAAGTTCATCTTGGAGTTGGCATACCTTTAGCGGATAAGTGCATTTGTAAGACTTGCAAAACAATTTGGTCACCTCAAGCTTTGCGCCTAATGGGGTTTAGGGTTGATGGTTTAGGGGTAGATTAGGCCCGCAGGGTTTAGGGGCTTGGGATTTAGGGCCGTGCCCACCAAATCTATTAAATAGTGGCCACAAGAGATTTTGGTAATCATATGAGGGTCCCGTTGTAGTACAGCACTGCGAGTGGGCGGGGGCCTTACCCAAGTTTAAAGTTTAGGGATAATACGCTAAAATTCAACAAAGCGATTTCAGGAAATATTTTTCTTACTTAGCCCCTCCTCTAAACCCTCAAGCCCCTACATGAAGATGCTATGTAGCGCAAGCCTCTACGGCTGGCTATATCTAGCTTTGCCCCGCTTCACCCTAGGCCAGTGCCGGGTCAACCTCAAAGCAGGCTCTCAGTCTTATGCTCCAAGGGTTTCAGGCTTGTACCCCCAGGGTTTGTGTTTTTAAACACCCCTGTACGCTCTTTCTGTGTAAGCAAGCAGGCTGCTCGGTTTAGGGTTTAGGGTTGGCAGTTTAGGGTTGTGCCCCTGGGTTTTGGGATCCTTGTAGAAGGCCCTAGGGGAGGGGACTACATTGTCTCATACCAGGGCTATGTTAAGGCCATATTTGGGGGATTTTTTAAGTGCACGACCTGAGGATGCAACCCTGGAAGCCTTAAACGCGACTGCTGCAAAATTTTCCTGCCCTAATCTGAAAACAGGTGCTGTAAACCTTGAAGTAACATTCCCACTGTGTGATACTATATCACAGTGGAGTATTTGACATTAGGGGGTTAGGGGTTGTAACATGGGGGGATGGGATCACAGGTGCTTAAAGCAAGGTTTGATGAGGCGTCTCAGGCTATCTGGTAGTTTCCCAAAATGACGGTACCCCAATATAGACCCTAATATACTATAGCCCTTATTATAGGGACCCCCAAAAAGGTATCCCTAATTTTGGGAAATCCCCATATAGGGATGTTTCACGATGGACATTAGCATCGAGATTCCTCTGACATTGGCATCCTCACAGAAGTAGTTCATGATAACGAAGGTTAACGAGATTGCAGGAGCCTAGAATATGCAAGGAGTATTTAAAAGTTACCAAGAACTTCGAATCTCCTTTTTGGAGACCCCTTCTAGTTGAGACTATCATCATTTGGAAGTATAAAGTGAGCATGAGTTTTGGGAAACCTCTATGTTGGGCTTAGAAGAATTGCTAATCATCATTCATGCTGAACACCAAAACCCTAAAGCCTGCACACGCAACATGCCACCCCGTAATCACTATACTTCTCGTATCGATTGGCGCCCTACAGCAGACTGCTCAAGATGGAAAACGGGTACACGGTACAAGCTTATTCCTGCTGGCGCGTAGCTTCTCCCAATGCATTGGGAATGCCAGTCTGGCGCAACAAAGGGTCGGCAATGTCAAGGGACAAGAACATTCTTCGTTCTGGACACAATAACTACATAGTGTGCTCAACATTCATGCAACATTCATCAGCACAACTAAAAGCACCGGTCGCATTAACCGTAGCCATGAACAAGACCAGGATTGCTCATGCATCTCAGAAAGGCATCCGGACTGCAGAAACGATCAAAATAGCCTCTATTTAGCGTTTGGGGTTTAGGGTATGAGTCTCTGCTTCACAGCAACAACAATGCGAAGCTGCTGACCGTAAGCTGTGCCCCTGAGCCCCTGACACTAGACCCTCAACTCTAAACTTTCAACACCAGCAGCTTCGTCCAAAAAGCCTTACATCCTTGAACGCATGTTGATGCAAGCCCAAACACCTTCCATCCAGGAACTCGACACCCGCATTGCATGGTAAAGCCACAGGTCACAACGCAGAATCCCTCAGCCTCACGTCTTAAACCTATTTTCCGAAGCTGTTATCTTGACGCTGTTTAAAATTACGGCTGAGGGTTCCGTCCGGAACCCTGGTTTAGGGAAACGAACCATGTCCACATTACATGCGGCCAAGCTGTTGCATTTCCTGTTTGTACGGACTCTCCAGAAGAAACCCATATAATATAGTAGTTTCCATTTTCTTTTCCCTTATCCCTATATACCACAAATACTATAGTAGTTTCCATTTCCTTTTCCATTATCCCTATTTGACCCCAATATACTCTAATTTCTGAGCAGCTACGCATGTAAGGAATACAAACACGGCGCGCGCCTCTCATGTGGCTTCTTGAGGCTGTTCCTGCCTTACGCACAGTTTAACGGGCGCAGGAAGGCGGGGAAGGATATAGGCACTGTTTACGGTTGAGGGCTTGGATTCTGGGTTGGGGATTGAGAGTCTGGGTTCTGGTTGAGGGCTATGAGCGCGCGATTAATGGTTCCAAGGTTAGGAGGTTGTGAACATATGAGCTATAGTCTAAACTCCTAGTATCCCCCTTAATAAATCCTATAATACTCCCCTATATAATCCCCTACAAACCCCCCTTTAAGGAGTTTAGACTATAGTTCATATAGCTCTTCTTCATCTGCCCCCTGCATGCTACAGCCACAGCGTGCCCCATGTTGGATTACAAAACACCCCACTTTGAGACGCGTGCTACTGAACATCAACTTAGTACTTGTGTTCTCGTATCGCACTATGTCAGGGTGAGTGTAAGTATAAATCGGGCACACCTGTCCTTGCAAATTAAGCAGGTATAACTACAGAAAGGGATGCTGTGGAAAATGGAAGTTCCAGGGCGTCCGACAGTCCATAACTAAAACGCCACACGGAATCCTTAACCCGCCTCCAAAGTCGTTCAGTGACATTTGGTCAGATACTTTACTGTCTAGTACCCGGATGCTGTTTAGGGTTAACTTAGCTAAGATTCACACAGGAGGTAAGAAACTATCCTTACGCGTAAACCAGCCCAGGCAGCTTTTCCATAACTGATAAAGGGATTTTGGGTTTAGGGCTTGGGGTTGCCGAACCTCTACAATAAAGAACGCTCTATAACTATTATATGAGTGTAAATTGGGTCCTAATTTTGGGGGTGGGGAAACTAAAATCCGCTCATTGAAAATTGGGGTGTCGCTTTCTAGGGCTCATTGAAAATTGGGGTGTCACTTTCTAGGAACCGCCCCATAATAAGGATTGTGATATGTTGGGGGGGGTTCAAATAACAAATTGGGCCTCCAACATTTTCAACTTTCCAAACTGGGGGGCCATTAAAATCTCGCGCTGTGTACGGCAAGCAAATATTGAACCTCGAAGCCTAGACTCTAAAATATTGCCCCATGGAGGTAGGAGATTGCAGTGAGCATGTGTTTGTGCTTAGCTTGGGAATAACCCATGTCAGCGGGGCGGAGGGTTTCAGGAAGGGGCTTATTTACTACTGATCTAGACACCCTTGTGTCTTTGGTAGTGGTGTTATTATTGGGCTTGTTGCTGCCAGAATAGGGAATTCTCCGGAGTGCGCTGCTGATGTGCGGCGATTACTACCTCTACTAGTGCTGCTACTGCCACTGCCGGTGCTATGGCTACTACTCCTATTATGGGTAGTGCTGGTAGTTCTCTCACTGTTCCTTCGCATTCAGCACATAATTCCACGGAAGCCGCTCCATTAAGATATAATGAGAGATTGTTGCGAGTTTATGGCGGGAATTAGCAGACGCTTAAGAAAAGATTTGGACCCAACAATTTTTACATGCCTTGACTAGGCTTTTCCAATGAACTTGGTACACGGAATTCGCATTTAGTAGGTTTCTGAGGCTACCTCAGGGCAGCGGGAAGTCATCCCATCCTCATGGCAAAAAACTTGAGCCAAGAGCTTGCAATCATTCGAAATGTTCAAGGGAGCGCTTTCTGCTGCGAGAGGCTTTCTTTTGCCCTCCATAGTTGCCGAGACAATTTCTTCTCCTTTCCAAAAGACGAACGAGAAGACAAGTCCGGTAAAGCTGATGAAGGAATCGCTGATCCCACCGATAGCAGGGCACATGCCCCAAGCTCAAGTAGGTCGAAACTAAAGACTGATGATTCAACGTGCAAATGTTACTAGAATAAGCTGAAAAACTTACCTGCAATGCTGGGAGCCAATGCCCTGGATTTACAACGAATGAGGAGGATTCTTCTGAAATGTGTGACGTCTAGATCATGGCCCTTGACAGTCAGGCGTTACGCCGGAAATGCCATACGCAGCGTGTGTAGGTTTAATCTATCTGCATAATTGCCAGAAACAGGTGACATGCCCCATTTTGAGCACGTCAGGGCGGAATATTATTTTGACCCCGCGATTCCTGGAAAATATACAGTAGTTGGGCTGTGACAAAGAATGCTTCCGAGGTTGGCAAGCTGATTGGTAAGAGTACAGACTTCCCCGAAGAAAATGACTGATCGCTAAGAGCGGCCGTCGTGCTCAAGAAACACCGTGGACTTCTAGTCTTCCCTGATGGGGAACGCTGCCTGCGTGGACCTTCGACCGATTGCCGATCTCCCTGTGACAACTTCCCTTAAATAACACCAAAATGTTTGGCATTTGTTTTTTGAAAGTCAAGAGTCTTATATGTTTGGAACAGTCTGCACCCATGATTGGTTTGGCAAATAGGCAGCCCACGTTCCAGGCTCATGCTCTTCGGGCTCCCAATGATAAGAAAATGGTACGTCACAGGTCGGCAGTTGGATTCTATGCCGCTCTTTGTCAGTACCTGCGTTGCTGATGGGTTTTATAAAGATGGGAAATTTTCATTTTGGTAGGAAGGCAGAACAACTGTATGCTAGTTCAGCTGCTATAACCTTAAAGTGAACCAGGGCAATCGCAGTAGGTAGGATACATCAACATCTGTACCACAGGTACATTGCATTGACGCTGCATGTCTGCTGACACATTTTTAAGCACGCCCGGTTTAGGGCTAGGGGTTCAAGACTTAATGTGTACAGCAGGATCATAGACATGCACCATGGGCTTCTCCCAAGAGAGGGTCACGTGGTATAGAAGTATTTTTTCGAGGGAGGGGCCTTCGTTGCTTGAAAAAAAGCCATGAACAATAACTGCAGGCATTTCCGTTTGACGGTTGACCCAGAACTGGAATTGAGGTTGTAGGTTCAGTTGTGTTTGTTATGGGGAATTTGAAGTGGGGAGCTGGGTTAGGGGCGTAGCACTTCAGGATCTTGCTCGGTAGTTTCATAAGTCTTTGGCATATGAAGAATCTGATATCAAGCTGCGAGCGTAATACATGGACAAGCAAACATCTAAAAAATCTCTGTCTTGATCCAGAATGCGGCATTGCATGTAGGAAGGCGATCTTTTTGTTGGCCGTTGACAACGTTCTGGCTTTTCAAGCAGTACGCTGTCCCTATGTAACTCCCTTTTAAAGAGTTTTTCGTATAGCTCATATGTAGGACGTATAGCGTTTGAAGACCAATGGGCCATAAGGTTGCAGGTGATAGTTGGTGGTATATTTGGGATATCGGACGACCCTAATATAATCACCATGGTCCCTTGTAATCACTGTTGCTGGGTGGGGGGTGCACCTAAGTGATAGTTTTCGAACATGTATGCAGATTGCTTCAACGGGGCTGCCATAAAGGATCGATCCTCCAACCTGTGGAAAGTTTCAGCTTCAACCAAGAGGGACCTCCACAATGGCGCGACACTCTCCCAAAACCCTTGTGGTCCAGAGAACGTACGGAATTTGGCGAAACACCATATCATCTCCACCTGCGGGAGTCTTATGGGAGGGTTACTCGCACCAATCTTGAAATCCAAACACTCTGAGTCCCAAAGAGAAACTTTACGCAAACCCTGCTTTTCATGGGTTTCCATCATGAGGAACAGTACAGGTATTCGATGACATCCCCAGGGCGAAATGGTTCATAGGGATTCCCTCATCAAGTTTACTTTTACTTGACAAACTTCTATATGAAGCCACGCCGGGCTACCTGCCTGGAAGCTCTAGGAGTAGCTGGTTCCAGGTAAGGAAATAACTCGATCAAGACCTACTGGAAACCTTTTGCCTAAGCCTTTCGCATGTGTGCCCTCTTGCTACCTCCCCACCTCTTCTCTGATTGCCCTGCCTGCAAACAAATTACAACTGAGGTCACAGAAGCTCAAAAGGTTGTGTGGCTTACCTTCTTCCTCATACGTGAAGGAACTGCAGTAACATGCGACCAGTCCTTTTACATATTCCGTCACCTTATCATCCTTTGATATCTCAAAATGTCCTCGTAACCCCCTAGCCCCTAGAGAACCACCCAATCATTCCCGTGAGCTCCCAAAAGGGAGACTCTACCCACCAATAACAAAATCAGTTCAGAATCCTGAAGCTTAGACCTTAAAACTCCAAACTTTAACGCGAGGACAAGAACTTGGACTGACAAAGCATCGTCAGCCTGCAGACCTGCATGGTGCAGGGTTCAGGGTCTTGGGGTTCAGGTAACCCTGAAACCTTGGAAAGTTAAACCGCAGCGCCCCAACCGCACCATTAAACTCCAAAACCTTCTACGCCGAATCCTGAAATCCCTAAGGCCCTACACCCGACACGTCACCAGACCCTCAACCCTAAACCCTAAAACCCAAAACCCCAAAACCCCAAACAGAACTCCAAAACCCTCAAAGCCTGAAGTGCAAAGCCTTCATCCTTAACCTTCAGTTCTCGAACCCCATACCCTAGGTTGACCCCCCATCCAGTAATAGTGACTATAGGGGATAATAGGGATTATATTAGGGTCCTCTTATATTCCTATTATACCACTATTACAGGGTGGGGGCCCTCCTAACCCAATACCCCAAACCCAAACTTTTACAGCTAAGTCGTTCCGTCCCCATTACACCTGAAGCCAAAAAACTCACTGACCATTTCAGTGTCAACTGTCTTGTCCACTTGATTCTCGATTTCTGGGGTAATATAGCTAAAGCCCGAAATAGCCCCTACATAAGCCGTAACGAAACCAATAAAGCCCATAAAGTCGGAACAGTGCTAGAGGCGAGAGAGAGGGCTGTCAAGCACTGAGCAACCAACAGGCTTGGTTGGCCCTCACCATCATCTTCTTCTGCCGCTGCCTTGCCGGAGAATGAAGGATGGCCTATGGGTTGAGGTGTTTAGGATTCCAAGGGGTTTAGGGTTTGGTCAGTCAGGGCTCACGAACCCCTGCTTCCCACACGAAATCCTAAAATCCTTGACATGGCCCATGATCATTTGAGGAACGTCTTTGCTCGTGTGTCTCTCCTTGGCTACATGTACTGCACCATGGCACACTTGCTTGCTTGCTTGCTTGTTTGCTTGCCTGCATGATGTGAGGTAGTGTTCATCTTAGTTTCAAGCTGGAGGATCTACACCTGTGCTCCCTGCACGAATGACAGAAAGCTGATAACACATGCTCTAGTATTCGCCAACCAACACATGTTTTTTCATGGCGCCCAAGAACTTCTCTCTACCTAGTGATGAGGGTTTAGGGCTTAGGGTCTCCACCTACCAGCGAACTCTCCTAGATGGCTCGCCTCTAACCACACCATAATATACCGTAAGCCCGGCACACTTTAGACCTAAACTGTTCCACCTACCGACCCTCTTGATTTTTCTGACGATAAATAGTATTATTAGTAATGATCGTGGCAGCAGCAGCAGCAGTAGCAGCAGTCGTCGTGGTCATGGTCGTGGTCGTCATCGTAATAGTAGTAGGAGTAATACTAACAATACGACTCATAATACTACTGCATGGTAATCATGTAATCGTAAGAGTAACACTAGACGCCAAACACAGCAACTGAAAAGAATGCGCCTGCAGCGCCTTTATCCTGGCAGCTTCCAAGGCCTGCGTCGGTTCCCGATGCGAGGGTTGAAGGCTGGGTTTGGGGTTTGGTGTTTTAGGGGGTTGCAGTTAAAGCTTATATAGGGATGTTTTTGCTCGTGAATGGGGATGCTGTTTAGAGTTAACTTAGCTAAGATCTACACAGGAGGTAAGAAACTGAATTTGGCGTCACCAGGCATGAACAATGCAAGCCAAGACCAAGTCCGACGGAAACCAGCCCAGGCTGCTCTTCCATAACTAATAAAGGGATTTAAGGTTTAGGGTTCAGGGTCTGCCCAACCCCCATAACCAAGAAAACTCCATAACTATCATATGACTGTAATCTGAAAGTAACAGGGTGCAAATTTTGGGGGTGGGGAAACTAGAATCCGCTCATTGAAAATTGGGCGCGCGCTAGATGGGGCTTCCGACGTCTTCTAAAACACTGCCCCATGGAGGTAGGAGATTGCAGTGAGTTGGGAAGAACCAATGTCAGGGGGCGGAGGCTAAGAGGAAGACCCTTGTGTCTTTGCGAGTGGAATAGGGAATCCTCTGGATTGTGCTGCTGATGTACGACGACTACTACTTCTACTAATGCTGCTACTGCCACTGCCACTGCCGGTGCTATGGCTACTACTACTCCTGTCGGTATTGCTGGTAGTTCTCTCACTGTCCCTTCGCATTCAGCACATAACTTCACAGAAACCGCTCCAGTAAGATATCATACTGGGGAATTCTTGTGCGTTTTTTGGCGGGAATTAGCAGACGCTGAAAAAAGGGCTTGGATCCGGGAAATGTTAAATGCCTGATTAGGCCTTTTCATTGAATTTGCTATACTGAATTCACAACTATTAGGTTTTGGAGGCTAGCTCAGGGCAGCAAGAGGTCATCCCCTCCTAATGGCAAAACTTGAGCCAAGAGCTTGCACTCCCTCGAAATTTCAAGGGAACGCTCTTTGCTGCGAGAAAGCTTTTGCCCTCCATAGTTGCCGAGACGATCTCTTCTCCTTTCCAAAAGACGAACAACAAGACAAGTCCGGTAAGGCTGATGAAGGAATCGTTCATCCCACCGATAGCAGGGCACATGCCTCAAGCTCAAGTAGGTCGAAACTAAAGACTGGTGATTCAACGTTCAAATTTTACCAGAATAAGCTGAAAAACTTACCTGCAATGCTGGGAGCCACTGTCCTGGATTTACAACGAATGAGGAAGCTTTTTCTGAAATATGTGACGTCTAGATCATCGCCCTTGACGGTCAGGCGGCTGCGCCGGAAATGCCATATACAGCGTGTGTGGTTCTATCTGCATGATTGCTAGAAACAGGTGACATGCTCGCTTTTGAGCACGTCAGGGTGGAATGGAACTTTGACCCCTGGATTTTTGCAAGCAGCTTCAATACATGAAAGCTGCGACAAGGAATGCTTCCGGGGGTGGCAAGTTGATTGGTAAGAGTAGTCACTTCCTGAGAGCGGAAGATTGATTTTTCTAACAGCAGTGGTCGTGAATAGCTTCACTCAAGAATAACTGTGGACTTCTAGGCTTCCCTGAAGGGGAACGCTGCCTGAGTGAACCTCAAACCTCAAACCGTTTACCGATCTCCCCGTGACAACTTCCCTTGATAACCCAAAATTGTTTGGATTTTTTTTGAAAGCCAACATGTTTGGACCAGTCTTCACCCATGATTGGTTTGGCAAATCGACAGCCCACGTTCCAGGCTCATGCTCTTCGGCGTCCCAATGATAAGCAAATGGTACGTCACAGGTCGGCAGTTGGATTCTATGCCGCTCTTTGTCAGTACCTGCGTTGTTGATGGGTTTTGCAAAGATGGGAAAATTTCATTTTTGTAGGAAGACAGAACGACTGTATACTGGCTCAGCTGCTATAACCTTAAAGTGAACCGGGACAATCGCAGTAGGTAGGATACACCAACATTTGTACCACAAATACATTGCATTGACTCTGCATGTCTGCTGACATTTTTTATGGCACACCCTGGTTAGGGCTAGGTGTTCAAGACTTAATGTGTAGAACAGGATCCTAGACATGGGCCATGAGTCACGTGGTAGAAATGTAATTTCCCGAGGGAATTGTCTTCGTTGTTTAAAAAAAGCCATGAACAACAACTGCAAGCATTTCCATTTCCCAGCTGACCCAGAACTGGAGTTTAGGTTGTAGGTTCAGTTGTGTTTGTCATGAGGAGTTTGAAGTGGAGCTGGGTTAGGGGCTTCATAGTTCAGGATGTTTGTTCGGCCATTTCATGTGAGTCATTGGCATATGAAGAATCTGACATGCAAACGGCAAGCGTAATACGCAGACAAGCAAGCATCCGCAATCTGTGTCCTGATCCAGGATGCGACATCGCAATTTAGGAAGGTGAGCTTTCTTGGCCGCTGTCAACATTGGCTTTTCAAGCCGGGCACTGTGGGGACTGATCTTCCTGGAGGTGCCTCATCACTTGCAAAAAATGCTAGCGACAAAAGAACAAAAGCTGGAAAGAGCTCGAGCTCACAAGTGAGTTGAACAACTAACCAAAGGTTGAGAATGGACCAACCCACGAGTACTCTCCTGCACTTGGCACATATGGCTTGTACTCTAGACTCCTAGTATCCCCCTTAGAAACCCGTATGATACTCCCCTACATAATCCCCTATATAAACCTCTTTCAAGCGTCTAGAGTACAGCTCATATATAGGACGTAGTTTTTGAAGACCAATGGGCTGTGAGGTTGCGGGTCATAGTTTAGGTGGACCCCCACCCTGTAATAGTGGGATATTTGGAATATAGGACGACCCTAATATATTCACCATGGTCCCTTGTAGTCACTAGTCCTGAGCTGTCGTGCACCTAAGTGATAGTTTTCGAGCATGTATGAAGATTCCTTCAACGGCGGCTGCCATAAAGGATCCTTTCGCCTGAGGAAAGTTTCAGCTTCAACCAAGGGGGACCTCCACAATCGCGCGACCCTCTCCCAAAACCCTTGTGGTCCAGAGAACGTACAGACTTTGGCGAAACACCATCTCTACCTGCAATTACTCGCACCAGTCTTGAAACCCAAACACTCTGAGTCCAGTGGCTTCGGAATTCTAATCATGCTGTCCAAGCTGTCCTATGGTACCTTGGTCAACGTACCGTTGAAAACCTAAATTATGTTTTGTACTCAGCTGTTGCAGGAGGGAGAGAGAATTCTTTTCAATCTTGGTTTGATAGTTCAAAGATCTCGGATGCTGCCAGAGGCCCTGGCCTCAATTAAATGAGCTCTACTCTAAACTCCTAGTATCCCCCTTAAAAGCCCGCATATAACCCCTCTAAGGAGTTTGGAGTCTGGATCAAATCACAATTGTATTGGGGTTCCTAGGTGCCCCCAAAGAGTCGGACGCACATCTAGAAATTAAGAGGACGCTCCCAGAGGCCGCTCCCCAATTAAACCGGGATTTAACAGGGTAGTTCAGAATAATTTCAATTCCCAATTTAAGGCCATTTTGGTAACTATTCCCTATATAAACCACCATTTAGGGTGAGGTCGCTTGAGGTCGCTTCAAGTTGCCCAGATTTAAGTGTCTTGGATTCAGGGGGTCGCCCAAGCTTCGGCCCGCAGCAAGTACCTCAAGAGATTCAAGAGCTTGTTTTCCAGGACCTTCCTAGTGCCCTTAATTGGGGATATATGGCCCCAAATAGGGGGTACTTAGGCCCTAATAGAGGGTAGGAGGAGGGTCTAGGTTCTTAACTCTTGGATCAGCTGCCTTCCCTCCTAATCTTGGGAGCCTCCCTACAGTTGATACTGACGCCCCGCGCAGCCCCAACTATCCTAACCCTGGGAGTGATGGTAGTTTAGTACAGTTCGTTCCTACCCCTACAATCAATGTTACAGCTTTGGGGAGATGCATTTCCTATCATGCGGGGCTTAGCATTGGGCAAAGTTTGGTGCCGCATTCCAGGGCTTGTTGCTCCCGACCATGCGCCATACTTCCTCACAAATCATTATCACCATACCGTTGATAATGAATCACATTCCACAGTAGCTCACCAGTGATAGAGTCCTCGGGCACAGCATATGGGTTCCTCTCATAGGCCCCTCAATACCACCAACCTTTTATTGCAGGAACGCTGGAAACGCCATGCCATTTTCACCCAGGCCCCCTACATTATTCCCAACATCAACGTCTCTTGCCTCCAACACCTTTTACCGTAGCTATGGCACACGTCAAAGGTACAGACCTAACCTGAAGTACCATGGAAACCCTAAACCCTAAACCCTACTACACCTATAGTCGCCCTTCAGTAGATAGAATATGGCTTTGGGTATATTATAATGAGATCCCCATATATCCCATATTCCATCTTCTTAAGGGGGACAGGGGGACTATAACCTGAACTAACATGGAGCCCAACAATGTAGCGCTACAAAGAATAGTGTCGCTTCCAAAGGCACCTCTTAGCCGCCGAGCTTCCTGGCTCCCAAAAGACTCTCCTTTCAAATGCACTGCTCCCCTAATCCCAAACAAACCCTAAAGCCCTGAAAGGGGTATGGGAATTTTTTAGAGTTTGAGTACCCTTTGCAATATGTGGTAATAAAAGAAATCATATGGCAGGACGCCCAGAAGAATTTCATAAAGGTTTGAGGATTGTTTGGAACCCAGCCCCCCGATGCTAAACCAAATGATCCCCTCTTGGAGGCTCCTTGACTCAACAACTCTACTTAGCAGTACGACCGGCTTAGCAGTATTTTAAGACGGGATATTGGGGACAGTAAGTAAGCATACTAGGTCTCTAAGGAGCCCCCCAAGTACAATATCTTCCATGAGATCACGAATGCCCGCCCCTGCTTGCCTTCTGCCTCTCGCGCGCGGCGAAGGTTACGAAGCGCTTCTCTGGATCTACCTCAATTCGTAAACCCTTTAGCCTAGTCTTCCGAACCGTCACTGATTCCTACATGCCGGTTTTCCCCTGAAAATGGAATACCTATTCAGTTTATAAGCCTTAGCTGAAGGCCTTCCCCCCCAAACAAAAACATGATTTTTGGAGACACCCATAAGTTTAGGGTCTAGGGTTTAAGATTTAGGGAACCTGGGTGGGGGCAGGGGCTTACTTTCAGAAGCTCGGGTACGCAGGGAGTTACCATGTAGGAGTTTTCGGATGTCCGGACTGGGACTTCTCTGAGGAACTTCCCCATTAAACCCTTCTGAAGCTCTACACTTAAAAAACTATTAGGCTGCTCATCGGGGGTCCGACATTTAGGGTTCAGGGAGAACACGAGGAGGCACCAGTACTGCAGAAACCCAGCACGTAGTATACAACCTGACTGGTTGTTAGTAAGGAATAGCGGCATGTAATCCCGAGATAATCCCTACAGAACATATTGCCAAATTCCCTGCTGAGGACCAGTATGTATACTACAGTACCGAGGCAAGATCTAGTATGTATCATCTGTACACGACGGATCTCGGTTACGGGCATAGTGCACCGAGATTGGGGCGTAGGGTCTACGGCTACTCGCGTCTTTCTTCTTCCAAAATCCCTTGCCCCTTACAATGTGAACCTCCACTCGATTTGGAAGATAACCGGGAATAGTTTACCTTGGAGCATGGGCGGGTTTGAGTCTTGGCAGGATGGGCCCTAAACCCAAACTTTAAGCCGCTGTTCTGTACAGGTTGCTCAGGTTCTTTGCCAGGCCTTGCCGAAGGATCTGAATCCCCTCCCCAAAAAGCTACCCTCCCGTCCCACTAATAGTACATACTCCCCATATACTATGATATAAGATAAAATACTGTAGTAGGAAATAGGTAATCATGGGTGAAGCACAAGGAACATGGTACAATAAGTGAGGAAACTACATTATAAACAAAAATAAGGTTATTCAGGGATTAAGGGTTAGGACGAAGCCGTGAGTCTTTAGATGCTGGCATGCTGAGACCCCAGCCCATGTGGCAACGCTCCATCGCGGTCGCCCTGAGATTTTACGACGCACGTTAGGCACGTCTGGTCCGGCCTGAAGGTGTGAGTGGCTTGTTTGGCTGGGATGCGGGTATCAGGCTTCAGGGCTGCTAAGGTACGGGTTGAGGGTTCGGGGTTTTGCCGTGCGTGGTGCAGGGTTCAGGATTTACCTCGTGGAGCTGGGGATTTCTAGGTGCAAAATGTCTCCTGCAGAACTTGGGCTTGGTGATGTGGACTACGGTATGAAGAACTTCTATCTGAGAATCTCGGTTTTTAATTACAGTCTTTTGCCTTGCGTTTGGAAGATAGGGCTAAGGCTTAAAGTCTCACCGATCAGCGTCTTTACCATCTTTACAGGCTCAATGCGTAGTCATACTCCGTCCAAGATTACCCTACGGACGCGAAACATTGGGCCATTTGGTTTTCTACTTACGCACTCTAGTTTTCTTCGAACTGCCCACCTGGGATGCACTTCTAGGTGGTTTTGCCTACGGATCATGTCTCTTTTGCTCCCCACAAGGCGCACTTTCCCTTTTAAGTAGCATCCGGGCGCGAGTGAAGGCTTAGCAAGCATTCAGCAAGCAATGGCTCTGCTTAATCAGTGCTCGCTCGCTACGCAAAGGAGGGTGAGGTCTGGGGGTAGTTGAAACATACTGCCTAGCCTGCTGTCCAAATATATATATATATATCTTCTTTAGGCAAAACGCGGTCAAATCTGAGATCCTAATTCTAGCGGCTCAAAATTCAAGCCCTACGCTTAACCTTGTAACCCCAAAACCCTTTTGCTTCCAGGCTGCATGCGATTCGCTGGATCCTAGGCCCCAAACCCCCAATCTCCGCAAAAACAAGACAGCTCGAAACCCCTCCGCCCCTCAAAAAAAGCACACATACGACAACAACCCGCGTAATAAGAACCAATCAAATTCGAAAAGGGTTTCGGGTTTCGGAATATGATAATTCCTGGAAGCTCCTATACAACATCAGTTTCCATTTCATTTTCCATGTTTTCCATGATTTCCTAAACTTCTATGCTGGGATCCCTACAGCTATCCCATAATGCACCTACAACGCGGTTTAGGGCTTAGGGTGTAGTGCGTACCTTCACTTCCCCTCTCCTCTTTAACCATACGTAAGAACCCCTTAAACCCTACACCATATACAACTCGCCTCGCCGAGGTCTTTTGCAGCCACGAGTTGCGCGGCATTCCTGCACAGGAGTTCGTGAGACCCAGGTCTGGAAACACTTTCCTGCTACGGTTTTGGGTTTAGGGTTATGGTTGATACTAAAAGAACTGAACGACCCCAAGTGCGTTAAACCTTGGGAAGTATGTTATAAACATTATATAAACAGGTTGCAGGTTTTCAGTATAAGCCGCAGTACATCTGTAGAGGTAAACGGTTGGGTTGAGAGGTTCGGCTTTGGGCGCATGAAGAACAGAAATCTCCTCAGACATAACACGTTATAGCGGGGATTCGGATTTCCGAAGTCTCAGCGACGGCGATTTCATGGTGAAGGAACACATTGACATTCAGCTTGGGGTCCAACCCGGCTCCTCCACCGTTTACAGTACGAACTTTAGCTTTTACAACCTGGCATTGCAGGGATACCCGGCGCCTGAAAACAGAGCTACCCTAGAGACTAAGGGATCTATGGGATGATAAGGAGAGTATAAAAGGGGTCTGGAGTCCTCCGATTACACAGGACTATTCTGTGAACGTCACATAAGCTGGAAATCCAAGCCAAAGAACTCTGAATGTGGCCGTTCTCTCTAATAGTCTTTCGTTTCCGAAATTATTTCCGCGGCTCCATACACTGCCCAGAGATCCGCAATAGGAGAGTTTCTCTAAAGCTCCCCCTACACATTCCATAGGGGCAAACCCAAAAAACCCTTGGCCGTCAGTCAATATCTCGCTGGTACCGCCACTTTGAGAAGTCCCCATATGAGCCATATTCTAAACTCCTTAAAGGGGGATATATAAGGGGTTCTATAGGGTACTATTATA